TGATCTTAATCAGTTCAATAAAATGGATAATTTTCGCTATAAAATTAAAAGTCTTCGAAACCATTAACAGCCGCGTTTAGTTGTGTCTTTCTCATTTTCAATTTTACGCACGTTCCTTTCTTTGTTTATAGCTCTCTAATTTTCTGACAGTTTGCTTGATGCTGTACTTCAACTCGTAAACACACATTGATGTTGCACGAGGTCATAAGTTCGGACCAGTTCTGAATCTTTTGAGAAAAAGTCAAGTTTTTGAATGCACAATACTTACATGATAATAGTAAACGTTGCTAATTACGAAAAAATTTAAAACTGCAAGACATTATGTGTTGAGGAAAGACTCCTTCATAAACTCTTCTGAAACTCAAAAAAAACTTTATTTTTGACAAATGCGATTTGAGAGAACATGATGAATTGCGAGTACAAACTCAGAGACACCAACGTTCACCAGTAAATTTGCCAGCTAGATTGATTATACCGATATCAAAGGTTTTAAATGGTATGGTGCCTTGGCTAACGAAGTCCTTTGGGATGCCAATGGCAAGTTTCCTGTCGCAGGGCTGGAATTGTGAGAAGCAATAGCACAAAAGATGAGATAAATAAGAACACTTTTTACCCATCCGTACTCGCATCTGTGATATATGTACAACTTAGGATCGATAGTGCTATGTTCTTTGTCTGTATAAGAAAGACGAAATCCACCGGTTTGATTAGTTCTTTCTTCATCCATTTTGTGATCAAATACAGAAACTAGGACGAAAAGTAGCCATTACTAACTAGAAGGAAAGTTTTAAAACTTACACAGTTCCTCGTCATATAGTTCAACTTTGACATCAGCAGCTGGTTCTTCATTGCAGACCAAACGTCCAGTAACCTCCACGGATTGTGTTGAGCCCCCCATAAAGGCCAGCGAGAATCCAGCAAGGCTAAGGATTATCAGAAGTAGCATCCTCAAAAAGCACTTGACTCTTAACACTTTTAAAAGTAAAAGAAGGTGAAGCGAATGAAAAGGATGCGGTTGAATCCAACGCAGTTCACCAATCACTAGTGATAGAGACTGACTGCTGAGCAATGAACGAGTCTTCATTGCATTTTTGGACACTTCTGACCGGTTGTGATATACTGAACAATACTTATGCCTTTGGAACGTGTTCATCTCTTTCTTACTTTTCCTGTAACGATAAATCATTTAGCCTAACAGATTTCAAGGTTGAACGCAGCGGCTCGGCAGAAAGACAGTTTTGAGAATACTCATCGTTCTCGGTTCTCCTGGATGAGCTAAGTCTAGGACTGTGCTTTGCAGCTTCAAATGATATCAATGACACGCTTTTCCAGACGTAAAAATGCCGTTTGGGCGGGTCGCGAAAGTGACTGCTGGAGCCGATGATCAATTACCGCCGAGATGGGTACGGTTCTCGCA